ATATGGAGGGACGAAGGCTACGCGTCCAAAAGGGGCTGTTTTCGTTTTGCTCTACTTCTTAGGAAAATTGCTGTCCTGGCTGCGCAGAGGAGGACAGGCCGGCCGGGAGCCAGCGTAATTTTCCACCTTCCCCTCCTGAGCGATTTAACACGCACTTCGGGCTGGGTTTCTTCCCTCTCTCTGCTTCCCACTCCACCCCGCCCGTGGGGGACCCGGCTCTAGCTCCGGCAGAAGTCGGGGGCTTCTGGGGCTCCTTTCGCCGTTTTGGGGTTTTGCTTCCTTTTCCCTTCAGGTCGCGCGGGGAGAGCAGAGCTTTGCCCTGCGCGGGGCGGATCTCCACCTTGTGCCTGAGGGTCACGCTTTCCATTTGGGGTGAAGCTGTTTTGAGGCAGGACACCCCTGGAACACTTCCCCGGCGGACACCACCCCCACGGTACAGAGCAGCAACAGCCGCGCCCCCGCAGTGCGCTCCGTGCTCCGCGGGGCACCGCGCAGTGCTGCGCACACCCGAGCGAGCGCGCACCGCCGGACCCCGCTGCTTCCCACACGCGTGGGCACCCCGTGGGCAGAGCCGCGCATCAGCAAAGCCTGCCCGTGCCCCCATTTGGATGGTTCCATTATTAAAATTGTTTTCCTGCAGCAGGTCCGGTCTCCTGGGTTCAGCAAAGGGGGCACCGAGGGAGTTTGGCAGTCTTGGTTTGGGCTTGGTTTGGCTGGGATCGCATTGTTTGGGTTTGGCTTGGCTTGGTCCGGTTGCATTCGTTATGGTTTGGTTTGGTTTGGTTTGGTTTGGTTTGGTTTGGTTTGGTTTGGTTTGGTTTGGTTTGGTTTGGTTTGGTTTGGTTTGGTTTGGTTTGGTTTGGTTTGGTTTGGTTTGGTTTGGTTTGGTTTGGCTGACTGGACTTGGGTTAGATTGAGCTGGATTGGGTTTGGTTGGGCTGAGTTTGTTTGAACTGGAGTTGTTTGGACTGCGTTTGGCTGGGTTTGGTTGAACTGAATTTGGTTGGGTTTGCCTTGGGGGGCTTCTCCCTCCTCTCTTGCCTCACTGCAGCTCTGTTTCTCAGAAGGCTTCCCTCTCTTCTCGGGTAGAGGTGTGCTTGGGAGGACGTGTCTTCATTTTTGTAACAATTCCCAATAATTTATAGACTGAATCTGAGTCTATACAACGGTAATAAATCTGAAAAGGAAAAGCTGGCAGAGACTGAACTTCACCACCTGATATATGGCCCAGGTGGTTTGGCATTGGCTGCAACCACTGCAACCAGCCGGGGATGGGAGCGCCGGGGATGAGAGAGCCTCTCCGAAAGCAGGGACCTCTCCAGACACCCGGGGTGAAACGGCGCTGTCCCCTCGGGGACAGTGACAGTCCCGCTCTCGGACAGATGCGTCTCCTCTTCATGGGGCTGTCGCTGGCGTGGCCAGCGCTGATTTGTTTCTAAGCGCCATCCCAGTTCTGGGGTTATTTATAGCAGGAGGAAGTGGTGCGGTTTTATTTGCGGGTTTCCAGCGTTTTACAGATCCCTGCCGCAGTGCCCAGCCGGGGGTGCCGGGAGCGCTCCGGCCGCCCCACGCGCAGCGTTCCCACGCGGAGCTGTCCCGACACCCCGGTCCCCACCGGAGCTCCCCGGGTCCTGCTCGCCCCGGCCCTGCCCTCCCTCCGCCTCTGCCCGGCCCTTCCCACGCCCACGCAGGTCGCGGCTCCCCAGGGATGTCCCGGCGGGGTCTCTGCGGCCGGGCTGCTCCGGCTCCTCCTCCTCCTCCTCCCCGCAGCCCCTCAGCCCGGGGGAGGTGGGAGAAAGGGGCACCCGAGCCCGGAGCCCCCGTCCTGCCCGACCAGTGGGGCCGCTGGGCCGCTTCCAAGTCCCGGGGAGAGCAGCCGGCTCCAAGTGGGACATCACGGTTTGCCTTGGGTCGTGGCCTGGCCGAAAGGTGTGACGTGAAGTCAGGGAGGCGACGAATGACGTCACGCGAAAGGAGCCGTGACGTAGCGCCCAGTGGAAGGAGTTGCCGGCGGAGAGATGTCCTGGCCATGCCGAAGCAGAGAGCGCTGGGATGGGAGGGAAGAGGAGAAAGCGCAAACCTGGCGGTGACCGCCCTGGAGGCTCGCTCTGCTGTCGCGACATAAGTGCCGGGAATGACCGGGGGGGTTTGGTTCTGTGCTGTAGGACTGTGCCCGCTGCTCAGAGCGCGGAGTGAGAGGATGCCCCTAAATCCACGAAAGGCGTATGAGACGCACAGAGAAGGCAGATACATGGTATGGATTAGATTAGATAAATATAAAATTAGATTAGATAGACCCTATGATATAGATATATTCTCCCACTGCCGACCCGCGCTCAGGTGTGCAGTGAATGCCTGCTCACACTACGGCCCGGGGTGGACGCTCATGGAGACGGCCAGGGCAGAACCAGGATCTGCTCCCGCTCCCGAGGGCCAGCCCGTTTACTCTCTGCTTAAGGGCGGTATCGGGGGATGTCTGCCCCGGTGACACCCCAGGAGGAGCCGAGGGCTGGGAAGACAACCGGCCCCGGCGTTACCGCGGGCGCTGCCGGTGCCCGGGCAGAGCCTATCTTTGCGCCCAGCCGGGAGAAGTTGAACCTAGAACGAATATTTTAAAACTAGATTTTATAGAACAGAATAAAACCCGTAATTCGGCGCATTATTTTTTTTTTTAAAAAAAGGAAAATTAAAAGGAACGAAAAAATGCTGCCTCCGGTTCGGAGGCTGCTGCGAGCAGTGGGTTTAAAATAGCCGGAGCGGAGCCAGGCTGTTGGCAGACTCGTGGAATCACAGGACCATCAAGGTTGAAAAAGACCCTTAAGGTCAACGCCTCCCTCCAGCACGGCCCGCTGGGCTCCGTCCCCCTTCCGCCGAGGGCGGGGGAGCCCCCGCAGGCCCATCCAGGAAATAAAGCGAAAAAGGGGACGGTGAAGGGTCTCGGACACGGTGCACGTTTGCAGTATATTCACCTCCCTCCTCCTTGGGAGAAAGGCCGCTCCCACCTCTTGCTTCTCACACTGGAGGAGGTCTCCATCCTTCCCGTGCCTCCTGCATCAGCTGAGCCCCTTGAGACTCAGAGACCCTGGTAAATATTTGCATTTTAAACCATGTCCATCTTAAACAGCCCCGAGGTTGTCTGGTTCACCTCGGGTGCTCGAAATTCCCAGTCGTTTGCAGACTCCTGGGCGAAGTTCAGCCGGGAGCGGTGAACAGGCAGAAGGACATCAAGATGTCGCTAAAAAAATTCAACAAAAAGAAAGAGAGCTCTGGAGAGCTGACCCTGACAGCACCCACATGTGCATCCCCTGAACGGTGCTAAAGACCAGAGGTGAAGGGATTCGAAGCTTTGGGGTCCCCAGGCCTTGCAGGTTCTGCCGGGGGTGCGGGGCGGGCACCTCGGCGAGGTCGGAAAAAGCCTGCGCGGCTGGAACACTGCTTCCCTCCACTTTTCCATAAAACAGTTCAAAAGTTCTCTCCCACATCTTTACTTGATTTGAAAGCAAAATAGAGTGTCAGGATAGATCAGCTAAAATGTGCCGAGAAAGTAGAGAGGAGAGAGGATCCTTTCCCATGGCAGCCAGAGCCAGGGTCTTCCTCCCGTCTCCCTTCTCCCCTTTCCCCTCACCCGCGGTACCCGCGGTTCCCACCTTCCTTCCCCCGTGGATTTTTCCACTTCGCCAAAACACCGAGGTGTTATCCAGGAGGGCTAAGGCCCCATCCCGGCCTGCGTGGGCCGCACCGGGGACGGGCCCTGCTCCACACGCCCCTGCCCCGGGACAGGGTGCACCGGGACCGATGCAGGAGAGGGGGTCTGCCGAGGAGGGATGGAGGTCTCCCACCCCCTTCCTCACCGGCTGCCCAGGGCCCTAGACTGGCACAGTCGCAGAGACCCCTCCTGAGGGTCACCGCGAGTTCGGCTGCAGCAGAAAATTGTTTGTTATTAATCATGTGCTGAAAGATGATGGGATGGGAGAGATGGCACTGCCGCTGCTCCCCGGGCTGCGCTCCCCCGGCCGCCGGGCAGGGCCCGGGCAGCGTTATAATAACCCCCGCAGCCTGGAAAATAATGTTAAAAAAGGTTCAGACCAGTTCTGACAGAGCCCGCAGCCCAAGCACCCCTCCAGGAACATCTTCCCCGTGGGACTGAAACGTGTGCTGGGGTCGCTTAGCCCCGCGCAGAGACGCTGAGCAGTGCGCGGGTGCGCATCCAGTGCTGGCTGCGGAGGTTCCGCGAGTCGTGAGGCCCAGGCTGGAGGGGTGTGGGGGTTCCCGTGGGGCTGCCGTGCTGGGCGGGGGCGCAACCTGCGCGCTGCCGCTGGCAGGGGATTACGGAGCGGGGCGAACTGACGGGGTGCTGGGAGCGGGCGGGGGTCCCCGGAGGATCGTTCACCTTTCCATTCGTTTGTGAAATATTTTTAATACATCACCGGGCTTGGGGGAGGAGGCGGGCGAAGAGAAGGAGGAGGGGAGGCACTCCCGAAGGAGCCGCGGCCAGGCGGCGGGGGCCGGGCAGGGGCGGCGGGGGCCGCGGGTCTGGCCGCGGGCGCGCAAGGGGCGCGGATGGTGCGGAGTGCGGAGCTGGGTCCCGCGCGGCCGGGCTGGGCCAGCGCTAGATGGAGTGATGCATGAGCGAGACGGGGAGGTTTTAACCTTCAGGGGGAGGAGCCCCGTTTAACTACAGGCATTTGTTCTAGGGCAGGTCACTTTAATCTCTTTAGCTTTAAACTGTCCAACTCGCAACTCGCGTTTCTCTATAAGGGATCTTTACCACTTCCCTGCCTATGCGGCCGGAGCGCCGTGCCTCTCCCCAGCAGAGACAACCGCCTTCCAGGCACTGCCCAGATTGCTTCCGACACCCTTAAAATAATACTGTTAGTAATAAGTGGATTTGCTTTTGGTTTTTGTTGATTTTTTTTTCTTCTTTAAAAAAAAAGCTCCTTGTTCCTTTCTGTGTGGAATAAACACCTGCAAACTCCCCCAGGCAGCCCGGCGCCCCTGCCATGGATTCCTTTAAAGGTGGAATGAATTTGGAGAGACTGCCTGAGAGCTTGAGACCCCAACCCTCCCATGACATGGCTTCCAGCTTCCATTTGCAAAGATCCTCGGAACCCAGAGACCCGATCGACAACTCAGCCAGTGAATCCTCCGACACGGAGGTGCCAGGTAACCCTCCCCCTCCCCGCGCCCCCCGCGGCCCCGGCCCGCTCCCCCCGCGCTGCCTCCCCCTCCCCACCGCGCCTTCCCTCCGCGGGGCGGCCGGGGGTGCTGAGCCTGCACCCCCGCGCTCCCGGAGCCGATGGAGGGACAGGGCTGAGCGAGAGCTGCCGGTGATCGCGGCGGCTTCATCCCAAGCGAGCCCCGGGAGCAGGAGCGGGGGCCAGGGGCCCTCCTGGAGCTGCCTCCCCCACCGTGCCCGGCGCTGACAGCCCGCCGGGGGGACACATGGCTCCATGGTCCCATCCCAGGAGCCGCTCTCTTTTATTTATTATATTTATTTTTAAATAAAAAACTGTCGTTATTAATTGATGGGGTCGGGAGGAAGGGGGGGCTCTTCGGGGAGTGCGGTTTTGCCGGATGTTTCTGAAATAATGTCAGCTTTTGCCCGGGTTTATTTTCCAGCTCGGGTGGTGCAGAGATGGAAAAAGATCTCTCTGTCAGCGAAAAAAAAATTTTTAAAAAGAAAGGGCAGGCAGAGTTGGAGAGGCAGCGTGGGGCCAAGGCAGGCAACGCGGGCCGCTGCGGAGGGGATGTGCGCGGCCGCGGTGAGGGTTTGCGCGGGGCCCGAGCGCTTTCCCCGCAGGAAAAGGGAAGGATCCCCATGCCCTGACCACCGTGTGCGAGGGCTACAGGGAACGCTGGGCTCTCTCGGGTTGCATTTAATTAAAACAACAACATTTTTACAATGACAAGGGAAAAGTAGAAGAGAGAAACAAAAGCTTAAAGAAGGAGTGTAATATTCCTTCTCCAGCAAGACTGTTTCAGAGGGAGTTTATATTTTATGTAATTTTAGTTTTCTAATAGCTATTGTTGCTCTTGGGAATTTTAACCTAGAGAGTGGCTGTTGTAGCAGTGGGTCCCGAAGTGGCACTCGGTGATAAACAGGGTTTGGGTTGTGCCTCCCGGCCTGATTCGCAAACAAAGTTAGAGACCGGCGTCTGGAAGGGACTCTGAGATTAGAGGGGATTATTGGAGATTAGAGAGGGAGATTTGCTCCATTTTGCCCTACCCCTGTGTGTGACCCCTCGGTGCTGCCGGAGGGTTGAGGAGCTGCCTGCTTTTCTTCTCCGAGAACCTGCAAAATACCTTTAGATTTTATTTTTTAATGGGGGAAAAAAATAGTTACAAAAGCCGATTAAAGATGCCTTGCCTTATGATTTGGAATTGCATCACAGCCCTGTGCTGAGGCCGGATTTTTAGGGAGGACTGGGAGAATTAAAGTCAGGGGCGAGGGGGCCGTAGCCCACCGGGACCGCTGCCGCTTCCCCGATCGCCCCCGCTCGCTCTCGGCCCGGTTTGTCCGAGCCATTCGCGGCCGAGAGCGGGAGGATTTGTTTTGGCGGGGATGATTTTTGTTTCTGTTTCGCCGCCGCCGCCGGGCCATGCGGCTGGGCCGGTCTGGGGACCAGGGGGCCTGGGGCGATGGGGTCTGTGCTGAGAGGCCTTGGGTTCGCTGCAAACCCCGCATGAGATCGGCCCCTTTTGGGGTCCGCTGAGCAGCTGAGGATCGGTCGCACCCTCACCCCTTTCCCTGTGCAGGGTTCCCAGCAAGGTGAGATCCAAGGGTGACTTTGCAAGGACGAGCCCTCCCGGGCTCTGGATTCAGCACGCGATTATTTTTAGACCCCCGCTTACCTCGCAGAGGTCGGGGCTGTAGAAATGCCCACGGGCCCGCCGGCGGCGGGAGAAAACCCTCCGAAAGGGGGTTAAAAACAAAACCAAAAACAATCTATAGAGGAGGAGGAAAAAATCTCTAAAGGAGAAAACTCGCCGCGATTTTTCCCTTCTGCACAGCAGGACCGAGGCCGGGGCTTGGCCGCGGCCCCCGGCCCTGCACGGCCCGGCCGCACCTTTCCCGCTCCTGCAGGGCCCAGCCCGGAGCACTTTGGTTCAGGGCCTCCAGACCCTCTCCGAGCGCTGCAGCCGGGACAAACCGGGCCCAAACCGGGCTGGGAGAGCGGAGAGCCCGTTACGAAAGGGGAGAGGGGTTTCGCAGGACCGGTATTGAATTCCTGCTCCCAGCCCGCGCAAATCCCGGCCGAGAAAACCCTCCTGGGTGGTTTCTTTTTTCTTTCCTTCTTCCGAAATGATTTTTGCGGAGGGCTTCGCTCAGCCCTGTGTTAAAATAAACACCAAAATCCTAAAAGATAAAGAATAAAATAATTATGAAAAGAGAATGAAGTGGGGGAGCGAAGAGGGGTCTTTTGCGATTAATTGCTCCTGGGTTTTCCACCCTTGCCCTTCCAAAGTTTCCTACCGCGGCCCGAGCACAACAAAGACAATGGAGCAAAGATCACGCCTCGGTTTGGAGGGAGCGAGAAGGTGCCGTAGAAAGGCGGAGCGGCCGCTGATACGGGGACCCCGCTCCCCACAAATGCGGTCACCCGCGCTGAGCCGCCCTGGGGTCCCTCCTGCTGCATCCCTGGGTGCCCTGGGCCCGGCAGGGCTCCCTGCTCCTTCCCCAGCCGCGCCGGGAAAGGCCGGGATGGGCTGCGGGGCTCTCGCTGCCTGCAGGGCTCAGCGGGACACCGGTGGGTGCCCCCACGCGTGCCTCCAGTGGGGTGGGCAGCGCTGGGTGCGGGGCGGGGGGTGTCTGCCTTTGTGTGCCTGTACTGGGAAAAAAAAACAAAGCAAAAAAAAAAACCAAACCAAAACCAAATGAACCAACCATCCCCAACCCGACCCCTCGCAGAAAAAGAGCGTAGCGGCGAGCAGAAAAACGAAGACGGGGCCGCCGACGATCCGGCGAAGAAGAAGAAGCAGCGGCGGCAGCGGACCCACTTCACCAGCCAGCAGCTGCAGGAGCTGGAGGCCACCTTCCAGCGAAACCGCTACCCCGACATGAGCATGAGGGAGGAGATCGCCGTCTGGACCAACCTCACCGAGCCCCGAGTCCGGGTAAGAGGGGCCGCAGCCCCGCCGGGAGCGAGCTCTGCTCTGGGGCCGCCGGAGCGTGGGGGGCTTGGGGCAGCTGCCCCTTGTGGGGAGCGCTGCGACGGCTTGCTCTGGGCTGGATTTAATGGCCAAAACGGGGATCCAGGTCGGAGCGGAGAAATTCAGCTCTCGGCCACGGAGAGATCCGCCCGGAGCGGGTTAGCGACCGTGGGCCTTGCGCTGGGCACCGGTTCGAAAAGTGGGCGGCGAGCGGCGCAGGGAGCAGCGAAAGGCCGGGGTGGGAAAGGGTCTGACTGTGGGGGGAAGAACCCTCTGGACCGGACGAAAAGCGTCGCAGGGATGGAGCAAAATCCCATCCGAGCAATTTCCCCTTGCTCTGGTTATTCCCAGTAATAGCCACGGCCATGTCCCAACAAACCCCTGCCCCTGGGTATGGCGACAGCGCGATGGCGAGCTCCAACCCGCACGGAGCGGTCTCGGGGCCGGCCCCTCCCGGCCGCGCGTCTTCCAGGGCCGCCGGCTGCTGGTGGAGGCCGAAAGCGAAGGGCAGGGGCCGGGGAGCGGTCACAAAATCAATACGGGCTGAAAACACAAACTTGTACCGCGAAGGCGCTTGATTTTTACACGCCTTGGAGCCTATGCCACCATATATATGTGTGTATGGTGTAAATATACACATACAGTATATATACATATATATATATATATATATATAAAAATATATATATGCACCTCTCTTAGCCAGATTCGAGGGCCTCGGTAATGTTGGTGCACACGGCTAGAAACATATATGTGTGTGTGTGTATGTATATAAATATATATATATATATATATATATGCGCATGTATGTGTGTGTGTGTGTGTTTCGGCAGTTCCTTAAAGAAATTTATGAGCAAAAGATCCTGGCAAAGAAGGACCGGGCCAAAGCGGCTCGGTCCTATGGATCTATCGCTGTGTCTCGGTTTGTCCACTTCCCAAGTGCTTTTTTTCCACCCGAGACATTTCCCCGCGCGGTTCCCACAGTGGTCGCACACTGCGGGACCGTGGGCTAAGCACAGGAAAAACGGGAACTGCGGAGCAAAGCCCCACCGCACGGAAAATCCACTTTTTCTTTTTTTTCTTTTAGTTTTTTGTTTTTAACTTGGCAATTAAACCTTGAGTGACCAAATCGGATTACAGAGATTCTGCTTTAAACATTTGAAAAGTAACAACCCATCTGAAACAATTGCGTCTGAAAGCATTGTCTTAATTGAGTTTAAAACAAAACAAAGCCTGAACATTAATACTGGTTGAATATTTCAGGGAACAAATATAACTAAAATATGAGTTGCAATTAACATCATTTCGTTCTCCTTCTGTGTGGAGATGTTTGGGTTTGATGTTTTGAGATGGCAGATTGCAAATCTAACCTTAATTTGCTATGAGGGCCTTCCTTTAAAATGTCTAGGAGCCATAATTAAAACTATTACCCTCATTTTCAGGAAATTCCTGTCTGGAAGCACCTTCCGAGGAGTATATTACAGGTTTTGAACATGTTGGCTTTCGTTTCCTATTTATACAGGATTCTTTTTATTATTGTTATTTTTTAAAATAGACTCCGCCATCCGTTCCCCCACGGAGTTTCCATCCTTGAGCCCGGTATTTAATAATAGTTGTGCCATTTCTGCGCCGGGAGGGGAGGCCCCGGGAGCCGCCCCCCCGCCCCCACCCCGGCTCCGGAGGGAGCGCAGCCTGCGCGGGGCCGGGCCCGGTGTCCGCAGGGAGCTCCTGGGCCCCGACCCGCTGGGACAAATCCGGCCTGTGGTGGGGAGGATGCTGCAAGGGAGGCTCGCGGCCTGGGCGCCGGCAGCAGGCAGCAGGATGCAGATTTTTAACCAATTTTTAAACATTTTTGAAGCTGCCCGGCTTCAATCAGGGGGCACTCAGATGCTTTCCGAGGGCTATATATGTAGTATATATACGATTATATATATATTATCATGTATAAAAATAATCAGAGACTGGAACCGGTTTTCGCATCAAACATCAGGACCAGCCCCTCTTCTCTGTTTCCTAGTTAGGGCTGTAAATTCTCATTAGATGTAAAGGCAGAGGTTGCATCTATCCGAGGGCGATGCAGGGATTGATTTTTTTTTTTTTAAACCTAACATACTAATCTAATCCCTTTTTTTATGATCTGTAACAGGGGGCTTTTATTACACAGCATTAGCGTTCGGAAACGCGGCAGAGCCGGGGCGAGCCGGCCCTAATCAGAGCGGGCCGTGCTTCGCCCCCCGTCTGGCTCCGGGAAAGGGGCGCGGGGGGCACAGGGGGACGCGGGGGCACGCGGAGACCTGCGCAGGCACCCTCGGCACAGGGAACGGGGACGGCTGCGCGCATCCCGGCTGGTGCATCCCGCTGTGCAGAGAGGGATGCGCGCAGAGCCCGCCGTGCGCGCAGGCACCGTGCGGAGCGGGACCCCGTTCCGCGGGGCGGGGGGCGGCGGGGACAGGCGGTGCGGGGCCGCGGAGCCCGCTCTGGAGTCCCGGGGGAGCTGGCCGGGCCGCGGGGAGAAGCGCTGGGCCGCGGATACCTGCGCTCCCCTGCGCGCATCTGCGCACCGGCGGTGGGTGGGGGGCTGCTGCGGCCCCGCACTCACCGAGACGTGTCGCTCCCCCCTCCCCACGCAGGTTTGGTTCAAGAACCGCCGAGCCAAGTGGAGAAAGCGGGAGCGGAACCAGCAGATGGACCTGTGCAAGAACGGCTACGTGCCCCAGTTCAGCGGGCTGATGCAGCCCTACGATGACATGTACGCCGGCTACCCCTACAACAACTGGGCCACCAAAAGCCTCACCCCGGCGCCGCTCTCCACCAAGAGCTTCACCTTCTTCAACTCCATGAGCCCCCTGTCCTCGCAGTCCATGTTCTCGGCGCCCAGCAGCATCCCCTCCATGAACATGCCCTCCAGTATGGGCCACTCGGCCGTGCCGGGCATGGCCAACTCCGGCCTCAACAACATCAACAACATCAGCGGCTCCTCGCTCAACTCGGCCATGTCCTCGCCCGCCTGTCCCTACGGGCCGCCGGGCTCGCCCTACAGCGTCTACCGGGACACTTGCAACTCCAGCTTAGCCAGCCTCAGACTGAAATCAAAGCAGCACTCCAGTTTCGGCTACAGCAGTTTGCAAAGCCCCGGCTCTAGTTTAAACGCCTGTCAGTACAACAGTTGACGGACTTGACACAAACCACCTCCGACAAAGCACCGCCGACAAAGCAAAGCAGAAGCAAAGCGACGTTTAACGGAAAAGAAAAAAAAAATATTAAACCCGATGATGATTAAAAGCAAAACCCAAGCAAGTGAGAGAGGGAAAAAAATAAAATAAAGCACACACACACCCCCCCCCGCCCCCCCCCCCAAAAAAAAAGCCCCAAAAACTCCGCGGACTTCGACTGTCTAGGAAAAAAAAAAGGCAAAACAACGATGCAACCAACAAAACAGTGCTTTAAAAATATTTTTAAAAAAAAAATTTAAAAAAAGTATAACTCCATCTAAAACCGTAAACGGACCAGCAAACTTTTGCAAGAGACACCGAAATCTGGTACATGGATGAGTTGCAATTTTTTTCTCTGGATTATGCGGGTTGTATGTGTTTACTTGAACTTGCACAGGAGTCGGTACGGCGGCCGCTGCCCCGCGGGGAGGGCGGCAGGAGGGGACGCCTCGGTGGTAAGAGCTGGTGGGACGGTTCTTGGCCGCTTGTCGCACGGGAAGAGTTTGGTTAATGTTTACCACTGAGAAACAGAATCACACTCGGAAAAAAAAAAAAAAAGGTTGGGGGAAGAGGGGAGGAAAAAAAAAAAAAAAACAAATCGCAGAGTAGAATCTGCAGGGGGAAAAATGGTTGAAATATTAGGTATGAAACTATTAAAATAATAATGACAAGGGTCAACCACTTATATAAGGTTATATTTATATCTACCGTTGCATTGTGCCGGATCATTGTCCTTGGCCGTTGAATAAACTGTTTTTAAAATGCATGATTCTTGATGTTTTTTCTTTAGTTGGAAGCTCTAATCCAGTCATTCCTGATACTAAGCAGCTCAAGGTTCCTACCTCTTCATCCTTTCCAAAAGACTGCAGTATCCCCGGTTGTGAGAGAGCACAGAAACCCTTCAGCAAGGCGAAAACTGTTCATCTTTTTCCCCATCCTAAAAAGTCGTATCCTGATAATGAAATTATCATTCATCTTTATTTAAATGCAGGGGGTGTTTTTTCTCTTTGAAAAGTAAAACGGAAAACCAACCCCCGTTTATAAAGTCTCGAAAAAAAGACGAAAAATGGTTTGTTATGAAGTGATTTCAGATACTGCATCTCTGCTAGAGAAACAGAGCGCCTCGGCGTCCGGAAAGGTTCTTAGCAAAGCTGAAAGCGTTCCTTGCTTTTCTAAATGTGAAGGAAAAACAAGGAACCAAAAAAAATTTCTTAAGGTGTTATTATCTTAAGGTGTTATTATGTAAATATAGATACTTTTACAAGTGCTTGTTGGAAAAAAATAAAAACAACAAACAAAACATGGAAATTATAAATATGATTTTTATTAATACGCATACAAAAGGCATATGAAGTTTAATTGCAGGCATATTTGTTGCTTATTTTTGTCGATACTTATTACCTGTAGATGACAAAGAGACATAAAATGCACACGGTACTTCTTTCCCAGTGTATTTCACACCTGTGGTAAACGTTACGCTGGATGTTTCAATTATGCTGTTGTGGATAAGGATGCAGTATATATATTGTTTTATAAGTTATGTTTTGTGACTTTTTTTTTTTCAAAATTAAGAGCATGGGAATAAAAAAGAAAACTTTAAAAAAAAACCTAAACCGAAACGAAATCTAAAAATGCCTTTAATGTTCTTTTCTGGCTGTGTCTAAGAAAGCGACTGAACAAGAAGAAAAGCGACTTTCTGTCCCCCGACCCCGTGGTGACATTTTGGGGAGCCCCCTCCCCGCTTCCCCCGGTAGTTGCGCCGTCTCCCCGCGTCCCGACAGGGAAGGAGCCCCGACCCCTGCCCCCGCTCCCCGGGGCAGCCCTGGCAGTGCAAACCTTCCCCAGGTCCAATTTTATTTTATTTTTATGGCAGACTGTTGGCCGGAGCTGGGGATCCAGCCCTGCTTGCCGCTGCATTGCTGCATCCACCGTGCCGTGGGTCGGCTTTTCCCTCCCCAAAGAGTTCATCCCGCATCCTGCAGCCCCCCGTGGGTCGCAGCCCTGGCACTGCTCCTTCTCCCGCAGTCGCTCGTCCCGTTTCGCTAAGGTGCGTTTTTCTCTTGTTTCTCCAAATTCCCCGACATTCTGAATTTTAAAGATTTTTCGATTAATTCTCCCTCTCCTTTAAGTTTTTGCAAGCACAAACCCCTCTGATTTAATCGCTATTTATTCACTATTGCGATTTCAATTAATGTTTTTCCCCAATTGCCATAACTGCTATAACGAATCGATGGAATACCCGCAGCCGGGGCAGGAGTAGCCACGGCCGGGGCCCTTCCGCGGCCCAAACGCGCTGGTTGCGAGCCGCGGACGGCCCCGTTCCCCCAGCATCGCAGTTCTCTCTGAGGCTGGGGGGCTCCGCAAGGCTTTGTTCTCATCACGGGGGCTCAGCAGAGCGGGTCCGAGTCTCCCCGACCGCTCCGTCCCTCTCCATAGCCACGGGAGTGTCACCAGAGCAGCACAAGGGCTGATTTCCCCCCCGTTTTCCAGGCGGGAGGGGATCTGCCAGCCCTCCGTTGGGATTTTAGCCAGGATTTTAGGTGTTCGTTTTTCCTGTTCCTGGAGGTAGCACCATTAGCCCCGAATCAGAGCGCGGCGTTCACGTTTTGCCAAAGCCTGCCCCAGGTCTCAGTTGTTGTGGGAGTCCTGAAGCACCCAGCCCCTCCCGACACTGCAGGAAAGAGCTGGGGGAGCAGGGACACAGCCTCCTGTGCTGCTGTCCCTCCCCAGTGTCCCCCCGCCCCGGGACTGTCCCACGGAAAGCCGATCTGCTGCTGCTGGGCGACATTTGGGCATCTTGACACATTTATGGCTCAGGGAAAGGAAAATTCCAGGGAGACACTGAGCAGAAAGCAGCTCCTTCACCTTCCCTGTGCGCTTTTACGGATGCCCCGCTTCCAGCAGCCTTTGGGTCTCCCCCACAATGGCTAGGGCTTGAATTATTGGGGGGTTTGGGGTGTTTGAGGCACGGCTTTGGACTGCCTTGCCCAAGCACGTTTTCCTTAGCGATGTGCCTTTGGAGGTGCCCAGGTGCGTGCCCACGCTGGGGGCAGCCGAGCAAGGCTGTCATTTAATGCTTCATTACTCCCAAAGTCCCCACGGGGGGAGGGCAGTATAAAACACCGCTCGCCGCCACCCTTCTCACTCTGGGTTTTGAACTCCCCTTGCCGGCATCTGGCTGGTGGGTGTTGCCACACACCGGAGGCGATGGTTTTCCATCCCTCGCCCTGCACATTCCTCCCGGTGGTTTCCAGTGTGTGAAGCTGGAGCTGGAGTTCCTGAAGCTGCATCACTTGGGTCCCGAGAGGCTCCATCCCGGTGGGACTGCAGAGAGTCCCCAGACTTCTGCCTAGCGATTGCGGGCTTTGTCAAGGCAAGCAGATCCTTGGAGCCAGAGAAATACCGGAATCAAGTTTTCCATTTGTTCTGGGTGTGCTGGCTTACCTATTAGCATTTCCAAAGCAAAGCTGCCTGGGGAGAGCTTTGCCTGGGTTTGCTTGGGAATGCTGCGTGGTCCTGAGAGGTCCCAGACCAGCCCAGGAGCGGCTGCACAGCGGAGCTCTGGTTGCACCAGCCCAGATGAAGTTCACAAATGCTTTATGCCTCAGACTGCACAGTCCGTTCAAGATTAAATGTCTTCTAATAAAAAGCTGTGGTCAGTTTAATTCTAAATTGCATACTTCTCTTTATCTGTGGCCTGGAACTCAGCAAACTATGCAAAGTCCCATTTAAATTAATAGGATGCTTCAGTACAGATTTTAATGGGGTTTTGTATAATAAAAATAACACCTAGAAATGCCCTAACATTTGCTGCAATCTTGCAACAAAAGTCAGTGGAACTGGGATAATAAAAATACAGGTTTTATATGAAACCTATGAAGGGTTTGTCATTAACTTCAGTGGCACAGTTTCAGGCCTTATTATTTTAGTATATGCTTGTATAAGTAAAAATTACTTTATCAATTAAATGAGAATCTGTGACTTTTCTGTTTCAGTCTGGCAACTTGCATGTGAAATATTTAGTTTGATGTTATCAAAACAGCCAAATATACCCACTTATAAACCAGCCCATATACAAAGACTGAGAACAAACAAAAATACAAAACTACACAGTGTTTTTGCTCAGTTAGCCCATCAAACAAAGCTGAGTTGTTACTTTTAAGAAAATACTTCATATCCCTCCTTTAATCTATCAAAGAGAACAGTTCTCTGCTCAGCCTCATAGAAAACAGTAAAAACCTCCATCAAAGTAAAATATATTTTAATTAACAGAGCTGCAAAATAAAATCCACAGCTATGCAGCAAGCTCCTCTGTGGCTCACCATTGTGTGAACTGCTTGGACAAGCTGCTCTTATTAACAAGCCATGGGCTACACTCTGTTCCAAACTGATTAAGCAGTAGGGCTGCAGGCAGATTTTCTATCAAAAATGTTTCAATGGCAGCCAGCCTGTTCTTCTGCAGGGTGATGGGTTTTTTTACAGGAAAAAAATAATTTGTTTATCCCCAACTCCAATTTCTTTAATGAAGAAAGCATACGCACAGAAATTTTATTTACCAAATAACTTCCCAACAACTAAAAATTCTCATAGGAAATAAAAAGAAGAAAAATGAAAGAACACATGTATTTGATTTTTTCCCCCTTCTTCACTCAGCCATTTCTTGCAGAAAGCCAGGTAACAATGTTCAGCCTCTGCTAGAGACAAGCAAATTTGCTCTCAAATCTTCCCAGGAGATCAGTGGAGCTGAGCAAGGCTTGTGCCCGGGGGCAAACCCCGGCGATGTAAATGAGCCCAGAACCAGCTCCTCCCGACACCTCTGCCGATGCAGCCCTGCGATCCACGGCAGCCTGAGATTCCTCCCCGGAATCACATGTAAAACAGCACTCGCTCCGGGTTGCGAATTCAAGTCTTGCCGAGCAACTTCAGACCTCCCCCGTCAGAAAAAAATCCCGGAAAAC